ATAGCTGGTGAATGACTGCCTCATCCAGGAAGAGCACAATGATCACAATCACAATACCAACATGGGCCAGTGAAGGGACGTCCTCCACAACTAGACTGAAGAACAAAAGGACAGCAACTTGTCTGTTCCCCTTCCCCGATTCCCCAACGCTGTTCCCTCCAATTCCCCAATAAAATCTTTAAAAAAAAAAGAAAGGTTTGCTGATACTATTGGGTCGTCGGGAAAGTCATGATGCATTTTTGCATTGAAAAACACGTCATGTCTTTCCCGAAGATCCAATAGAATCTAAAGTTAAAGTAATTTAAAATTAGAAAAACTTAAATGCCTAGCACTTTATTTTTCTAACCAAAACCATAGTGGCATAACTATAAATTCAGGAGGAGGGAAGGGTGAAGGAAGAGAGGGGTACACCACCTGCCCACAGCAGGGAGAACACAGGACCTCAGGGGCAGCTGAATGGCTGAACTGGTATATCAGGTCCAGGACAAAACAAAATTCTGCCTGTGGGTCCCTCTATAGTCTTAGACCTACCAGCTCACCAATTCCTGCCTCCCACCATCCTCCTCATCCCTCTTTACTACTTTGGTGTCTGCATCTTACAGAGCTGGTGAGGGATGCGTGAGGATTGTGCAGTGCTCCCAAAACGTATCCACCTTGGAGTGCACAGAGAAGACAATGATGTGTTGGCACAGCGGGGTAACTCAGCGGGGTAACACAGCGGGGTAACTCAGGGTAACCTAGGCCCTGCCCCCTGCCCCCTGCCCCAGGGCCTGAGGGATTAGCCTCTTGGCCTGTCAGTAACCCATACATGCACCCTAGTGTTGGGAAGCTCTTTGCTGAGGTGGGAGGCTTCTCTCTTCATGATCCTAATATCCCACCTACAACACATGCTTTAGACCAAACCTGATTCTCAGAGTGTGTGTGTACAGACTCCGGGCCCTACCCTGGATCTACTGAATGAGAATCTGCAGTTTAATAAGATCCCCAGATGCACAATACAGTTAGAGAATCACTGTTTAGAATTTTCAAAAGCTATCTGAAATAAAGGCAGGATGTATATCCTCAAGAGAAAAAAAAAAAAAAGAAGAAGCAGCCGTCCAAATACTGCCTCATTTGTCCTCACACAGCAAGTGCAGCTTCCGGCTCACTTGCAGATGAGGGAAAAAGGCTCAGAAAGGTGCAATCATTGGCCTCAACCCCCACAGGTGGCCCAGCACCCAGGGATACTGAGTCCTGGCCCCGTACTTTTTCCTTAGACCATTTCCTTAGATCTCTCGGGAGACCCCACAGACTTGGTGAAGCATCTCTCCATTCTTACTTAACAGAAGTGGTGAGTCAAAAACCACAATTTCTTCGCGCCTAAATTTGAAAAGTAAAATTTATTACAAAGAAAACATATATAAAGATATCATTCTTTAGGACAGTAATAGATAAGACTTTCCAAAAAGCTTCCTGCTCTTTGAAATATCACCAGGAGGTAACATATAGAAACTATGGTGACCCTCTGACCCAAACCCAGATAACAAGGAGACTCGCTGCCACCAAAGGAAGTCCGTCTTTCTATTATTAATAGATTAAACATTGTACAGCTTTCGCTTCTAACCCTCTTGTACTCAGGGCCCATTTTAACTTGTGGATAGCAGCCTTCCGTTATATTCTTGTTTTATTATATTTCAGTTCTCTCAAAAGGAAAAACAAAAGACAAACTCCCCACCCCAATTAAGAAAAAATTTCCCCAAACGTTAAATACTAAACACACCAACAAAAAACTTTGAACTACTAACTTGAAGCAAATACATCAAAAATATTTTTCATCTGTGACAAGTGACCAAAAAAAATACCACTCAGATACTGGCTGGAAGGTGAAAATGACATTCCCGAGACACTTTAACTTTGGTTATGACTAACTAGTGAAATAGTTTCAAAGACTTAAGACTTTAAGCCTTTGATTATCAGGCCGCTGTTAGAAAAGAAAATTGCTAGAACTGCATCATCAGTCGAGGATTCCGAAATCAGTGGAAGTCACGTAGCGCTCACTTTGTGGTCCTCAGCCCACTAGACTCAGGCCACACGAAGAAATTAACGTTTCCTATCTCCAGTCATTACCTGCTTCAAAGATACAACATGATTTGGTCAGATACTATAGTTATTTCTTACCCCAATGACAAAAACAGTTTAGTGAGTAACATCCAAGTAATCTAAAAATAAATGGTGATCCTTCAACTTGGCCGTAATGAAGAATTTATAAATGATACGTCGTTATAGAAAAAAAAAAATGAAGTGGACTCAGGCTGAAAGTCCTGGCTACCACATTTTTTCATTGGGAAAATTACTTTATCTCCAACTTTAGCTTAGCAAAGTCAAGGTTTAGCTCAGAAACTACTGTAGCAAATAAGCATTGCCTAACAAGTATGACTCCTCCCAGCCCTAAATGTGACTTTAAAACTTGGAGTCAAGAAGCACAGTTAGAAGTTTCTAAAGGGATTCTCCCAGGAATAGCCCAAGCTGAGTTTCACAAGTAATTATAGTCACTTTAGAAGGAAAAATCATTGTTTTGTCTCAAGTTAACTAAACCATGGAGAATACGAAAGGAAACTCCCATGGAGATTCCCAAAAGGAAAAATATAAAAGTTTTAGAGCATGAATAACCCACTGATGTGATAAGCATGCTGGAAAACAGAAGGTGCAATGAGTTCCAAAATTCACTAAGGAAAACATCAGAGAACAGAGATGGAGACTAAGACTGAGACCAAGACTAAGAATCTGTAAGGAATTATATCAAAATGGTAAAAATGTGTTATCTCTAAATGGGAAGATTTCTTTTTTTGTGCGGTTGTTGGTTTTTTGCTTTTTTATTTTTTCCAAATGTATTATAATATCTTGATTGGAAAAAAAATTCTTAGAAGCAATTCCCAAAGATTAAAATGATTCTGTTGGATACTATGGTATTAGTGTACCACTGGTCATCCTCGCTCATCCACATGGATTAACTGACTCATTCATTCACTCATTCACTCACTGCATTTAACAAATATTTACTGAACACCAAATATATACAGACTCAGAATATGTTGTTAAATAAGTCAAGCAGGGTCTCTGCTCTCATTAAGTTTAAACTTTACTACTTCAAATAATCTTAGAAGAAATGCTGGTTTGGTGTAAAGGACCTCAACAGACATCTTCTTGGATATGGTTTAGCTATGTGACTGTAGGATCTCTTCCTACAATCCTCTCCCCACCCCCTCAAAAGTGACAGAAGTCCAAATCCTGACTTCAAATTCCCACAAAGAAAAGAAGAAGGGAGAGAGGGGTAAAGATGCACCTCAACAAATTCTCACGTTTAGAAAGAGAAACAAAACCAGGGAAGCCAGCTTTGCTGCTCTGTTCTCATAGCTCAAGTAGAAAGAAAAATAGAACTCTTGGTTAAACACAAAATAATAAGTCAGAGAGGAAAGGTTCTCTTCAGCGTTAAGTGCTGATTCACCCACCCAAACTACATCTCTCCACCATGAGCTTATATTTGTGTATCTACAGACCACCTGCCACAAAACAGGAAAAGAAGAGAAACCAGAGAATGCTCCAGTAATTACTAGAAAAACATAAAATTAATGAGTTCAGAGGTATGTACCATCACCTTAGAGTATAACTCTCAGGCCAGACAAAACGTAGACTACAGTCAGGAAAGAAAAACAAGTAAGAGTAAAAAGGTGTCAATAAAATAGAAAAAGGAAAGAAAAAGGTAAAGCAAAGGAGCACATTTTATTGGAACGTCTTCCTCCATCTATTTACTCCACAAATATTTACTGAGCACCTATTATGTACGAAGGGCCATGCAGCAGCTAGAGGTACAATAGCATACAACAAACATGGTGCTTTGTCCCTGTTGTCCAAGGCGACCACTGTGAAACAGTTACAGGATCTTGTGAAAAGTGCTTCGATGGAGCAGTACGAGGTGCTACAGAGGCACACAGGAGGGGCACAAGCTAGGTCAAAACTAAAATGAAATCGTCAATGTCTTGATTCCAAACCCTCAATCTATGAGAAACTCAAGGGAGCTTATGCCCAGGTCATAGAATGAAGACAATCAAAGAAGAAAGACCACCTTGAGATGCTATTGAACTGGCACAGGGGCCAGTGAGACAGGCAATTCCACATTGCCTTGAGCATTTCTGGGAAACTCTCCCGCAATCGCCCAAGGCACTGAAAATGTTCTTAGGTAAACTAGTCTCCACCACGGAAGAAAAAACACCCTTGCCTTCCCTCCTCCATCCCTTTCTCATGCCCTTCCCACCAAGAACCTTATCCTTGTTTGCCAAATCAATGTCTCCTCCCACAGAGAAAAGTTTTTTGTTTGTTTGTATAGTGATCTGTTTCTTGGTTTGTTTGTTGTTGTACCCATGGGACCCAGAGTGGAATTTGATACGGGGCCCATTTTTATTGCCCATGCCACCACAATGGCCTAGCTTGGCGCACCAGGGCTTCTTGGAAGAACTAATTCTAAGTTGAGACCTCAAAATGAATAGGAGTTTCTCACTGAACAGGTATATCCTTAGAAGGGAGAAGGAAACCAGGATGATTGGCTCACACTACCATTAAATACTTGAGTCCATAACCTGCTTGGATTCCATGTTTACTAAGCAATATTCTAAATATAATTCAGCTTCCCACAGGGAAGGAATGTACTGGTCAAGCAGCCATAACCATCCCACTTACAGGCAGTTGTGGTTCTCATTATAAACTAAAAAATAAACACCCTGAGTGGGAGACTTTGTCTTTTGGAGTACAGTCAGCTTCAATTTGCCCAGCAAGTATGGAAGATGGGACCCTCTGCAGTGGTACCTTCACAGGATGGGGCCACCCTCCCCCCAGACAAAGGGCACCCGGCCCTCCTGGGCCTCAGCGTACACAAGGTTCATCATAAGATATTTAAGGAAACTTCACACATGTTTTCCTTAACTTATTTGGCTTTTAAATAAATATGTCAGAGTTAGCAATCTATTAAGCACAGATTTAAAAGAAACCAAAATAGAATTGATGTATCCCATAAACTTTTATGAAATGGTAATTAGACGGAAAATAATCATTTGTGTTCAAAACCAACTCTGTTCAAGATACGTAGGAATCAAATCCTGATCTTTTTCAAAAAGTGAACATTTCAGCTAAATGAATTCAAGAACCCTCATCACAGGGTATATGATTCACACTGGTATTACCGTTTTATGTATCTATGATTGAAACAGGAGTGTTTATTCAACACGATAAAGAAAACCTTAAAAGTTCTCCTTCCTCTAAAAAAAAAAAAAACATACCTCAACTATGGCAGATAATGAGTTACTATTCTTAAGAGCTAAAGTTTTTTTTTACACCCATAAGAAAAACACCTACACAGAAACTTACTAGAAAATCAGCCTAAGAAAATCACAAAAAGAATGGCTGAGAATACTATGAAAAATGTTCAGCCTCCCTAGTAAAGCAAATTAAAACAAGATACCAGATTAGCAAAGGTTTTTTAATTTCTTGAATATCCAAAGTTGTCAAAGATTTGGTGAACTGGGTAGTCTCATACACTGTTAGTGAAATAGAAGTTACTACAACTGGTTTAAAAAGAAACTCGGCAGTTAAAAATTTTAAAGGCTCAGTCCTTTGTACATAGGAATTTATCCTAAAAAAAATCATTAGGCAAATACCTAAAGATTTGCATATGCACAAGAATGTTCAACAGAAGAGTGAAAAAAACAATTAGAACAACTCAAAGGGAATAGTGAAATGATTTATGGAACTACCATGGGATACTGATGAACATTTAATGATATGGAAAACATAATTTAAAGTTAAATAGAAAAAGTAAGATATAAAACTTTATACAGTGTGGTTCAATTTTTGTAAAAATATGGGGTATGTATGTGTGTGTTGTATAAGAACTGATCAAGGCCTTAAAAAAGAAAATACCCAAATTGTTAGAAGTAATTTTTCTGGCAGGTGGTATTGCTAATAATCTTTATTTACTTCTCTGTACTTTTCTCTCTGTTTTCTAAATATGTTACACTGAACATCTGCTTCTTGTATAACCAAGGGGCAAATAGAAAACTTCCTTTCTTCAAGCTGAAAGGAAATAAACTTCAAATGTACTCTAAATTGCAGTTTAAAAATAAGTTTCACACTAGAAAAAAGGCTTCTGGAAAATTAAAGATGCATAGAAAACAGAATTAACCTTTGCCTTTATTACTAGCATATATTTAAATATTCTCTTTAAATACTTATATACCAGATGGTTCATTTAACAAAAGTATGTCTGCCTACTATGTAAGATTTTGTATGGAACCCAGAGATAAGTAAGGCATAGCCTGCTCTTCAAACAACTAAAATTCTACAACTAAGCCACATACACAAATAGTTGCAGTCTTGGATAGGTTGGTCTAAGAGCTGGACTTCTAATAACTGGTCTTACCAAAGCACTACATGAGACAGCAGAGAAGGTAGAAACATTTGCATTATTCTCCCCTTATAATTTTATCCAATAGAATTCCTACATTACAAACCCTTCTTTCTGTGGTCCTCTAATGGGACAATAATGGCTGCCTTATACAGCAGTCATTCAACATGACAATGACCGACAAATACCTTGCTGTAACCCGAATCCAGCCACATATCCTGAATTTCCTCTTCAGATCCTTAAGTCTTAAGATTCGACCTGGCTTGTGGAGAGGTTTATTTGCTTGTGTGAGGGGAAGATGTCTGGCACCAGCACCTTGAGCTCTTGCAGCTATTTTTCTCTAATAAGTTAAAATAAGTCCACTAACTTTGGAAGCAGGAAAATTACCCAAAATGTGAATCAAAAGAATATTGACATGACCTAACTTTCAGCCCTCAATTATAAAATAAATGAGAAAGGGGTTCAAAGGAAAAGGCATGGTTGACAAATGTACCCTATTGAGTGAAAACATCCTAGCCAATTAACTCAGAAGCAGGCTCATTCAGTATAGAAAGATGACAAAGAAGAAAAGTCAAATGTCTTTATATTTCTTTGTATTTCTCCTATAACATCATCTTACCTTAAAGTAAAGAAATAGAGCCGAAAGCCTGGAAAGATGGAGAAGACGAACCTAGGTATTGATCCAGATCTGAGCTTAATAAATGTTTTCTGTGAAGCTAAGATGATGACTTCTTATGGCCACTGCTCAATATTGAAGTTTCTCATTACTGACCGTGATATCATTTCCCTTTTTCCTCACAAAATGGTAGAAGGAATTAATTGTATAAACATGGCCAAACGCTAACGTTTTAGAGCATGCAGTGTGAGAGCACAAAGGGAAAAAAATAAAATTCTGAAGCTGACAGTACAAATAGGAACCAATTCTAATCCTCACTGCACTGAACACCATGGCTGCCAGCTGATAGCAGGGATTCTGAATACACAGTATCCTTTAACGCCCATCTGCTCCATAATGCATCCATTTGTTCCTAAAATGATACTAAGCCCCACAATGAATTATAGGGGTTCCCCCCTACAATTCTAATGGTGTATTTAATTGTGCACATTCGCTTCACAAGTCCCGGTTCTTGCTTCTGCCTTCTTAGCCAAGAGACATACAGAAGGATAGTAATAGCAGCTAACTTTTATTAAGACCTTACTGTGTACATGGGGCTAAAAGCTTATGCACCTTAACAAAAGAATGAGGGAGGTACCATGATTATCCTCAGGATGTGGAGCCTGATTCTTAGAAGGATTTGAAAACCCCCCCAGACCTAACAGCTAATACGAGGCAGAATCAGGATTCAACCTGAGCTTTCTGAGTCCAGATCCTACGCCCTCCAACCCCAGGATTAAGGCACTGGCTAAGTCTAGGAGGGAGACACTGAAAGCTCCCAGGGTCGGGACAGGCACACTCACCTGCCCCGTCAGGAGTGATGGTTCCCAGTTTCACGGCTAGAGGGTAGCCCATGTCTCTGTAATGCTCCAGTGCGTGCCCATTGCCTCCGGAGCTGTCAAAGAACCACTTCCCACACAGCACAGAGCCATCGGTCAGGTTCAGCCAGAGGTTTTCCCGCAGGTCACACCTGGCACACTTCCAGCCACTGGAAAGTCATTGGAGAGCAGTTAGTACAGTTGGAATGCAAGGTGTAACTAGAAAATGAACATCTAAGAAAACAGAGAGACTCAAGCTGGGGCCACAGGAAACAGTCAATGGAATAACAGAGATCCTTCCCAGGGCAGCAGGACCACTCAGGGCCCTGCCTGCCACCCAGATGGGGACCATCTCCTCCCAGCTCATCCTCGATGGCTCTTTTACTTTAGAAAACTGACGCAGAACCTGAGGGCAGAAGAGGAGGTCACTTCCTTAAAATTCCTGTGTGAAGGACAGTGGAGTGGAGCTTAAATATATTTAAAACATTTCTTCTAATCACCTAAAGTTCAAAAGCATTAACTATACCTAGGAAAACCAGTTTAAACAAAACCTACGACATGGCAAATCTAAATTAAGTAGAAAGGAAATCAACTTAACTGAAGGTTAAAGGTCGGGTATGTGCCAGGTACCTTACAAAAGTTTTATCCCTTAATTCTGATAAACACCCTTCAGCATCGGTATTACCACGACCATTATCAACAGGAGGAGTGAAGAGCAGCACCTTGACCCAGAGCACATAACGGGAATGCAGCACAGGCAGGGCTCGGCCACACTGGACACAGTGCTAGTCCAGGGGCCCTTTCCTTCCAGCACTGGCCTCAGGGAACACACCAGCACCTAGCAGGAGATGCTAATGCAGCCAGAGAGCATTCCAGCCCCAAATGGGACAACCAAACACTGCTGTAAGCTGGGTTCCCCACGAGGCAGAGTCTGAGACAAAGATCTGAATGTAAATGCCTTGTTTGGGAGGTGACCTCAGGAAGCACCACAGGGAAGTGAGACAGGAAAGGGCAGGAAGCCACCATGGGCAATTGGGGCTCAGTCCAGCTGGAGAGTTCCAGCGGTTATCCCACCTGAGGGGCAGGGGTCTAGAGTATTTACCCAGAGCTCTGCAGTCACTGGATGAGGCCCAGTCCAGGAGGACAGGAGGGAGCATTAACTCCATGGGATTTCTGACTGTCCCATGCACAGACCTGTCTTCGACAGGCAGAGAAAACCCTCAAGCACAGAGTTGCATGTGCTTACAACTGGGAGTCTCAGGTGGGGATGCACTCAAGGGGATGGGCTGGGATGTTCAGCATCTACTACAAAGGTACAGAGAATTTGAGAGAGAATTTTTGAGCTTATTTTTTTGAAAAGGCATCTGACAGGAAAATACATAACTGCTAATTCTGAGAAGAGGTAGGAAAGTCAGTATTCCTTTGGCCCGTTTTAGGGGACAACGTTCCATTTCGCTACTGGACGCTCACCTTGGAGGGATCCTGACTCCATTGTCCAGCTGGGTGAGGTTACTGGCATGCTTGGACACCGGCAATTCATTTTCCCATGTGTCTGGGTCCTGCTTTCTGTATGGGGATTTTGAGTTAAGAACTGCATCACAAGCAATTGTTACCTGTAAGACAAACCCAGATGTACTATATTAAAAGTTTGAGAGAATAGCAACTTCTATAAAATGAATTTGGAAGTGTATTAATAAATGCAGCTTCATCCAAGAAAATTCAAATTGGTACAGTTATCAGGAGAGCAAGGTTTTAGTTTCCTGGCTCCAGCACTTTTCCCCCTGGATCTAGGTGGGTTTTGTCCCTGGCCTAGAGTTTGCAATATTGACAACGACACAAGGTAGCAAGAAACCAAATTCAACTTGTAAGCCCAAGCGTAGCAGTCAGAATTAACAATTCCTGCCTCTGAGCAAGCAGAGTGAAAAGTACAAGGTGAACAGTTTACAGGGGTGGAATTAGCTGTGGGAGTGTCTAGGATTTACCCATGGTGTGTTTTCCTCCTAACAAATATACACCCAGATATCCAATATCCTCAACTCATCACACAATGGCATGTGGTCAAGGGCACTTACATGGAATGCTAGCAGCGTGGTTCCATTACTTAATCTGGTGCAAATGTGACCCTGGACAGGGACATGCCTTGGTGTCTCTGTGCCACAAGAGTCCACATATGAGCAAATCTGTGATTTCCAGCTTGGCACTAACTGACCGTGGGGAGGGGAAGGCAGGTTCTCTGCTCTCTCCCAAACCCAGCTGATCCTAGACATATGCCTAGCACCACATTTGCTATTTGCTTAATGCTACGAGGTATTTCTAGCTGTCTTTAAAAAACATTCTGGTGGGGATGAATGTAAAATGGTGCAGCCACTTTGGAAAATAGTTTGGCAAGTCCTCAAACGGTTAAGTAGAGTTACTATGTCACCCAGAAATTCCTAAGCATATACCCAAGATAAATGAAAAACTGTCCACACAAAAACTTATACACAGGGCCAGCCGAGTGGCTCAGTTGGTTAAGAGTTGGCTTAAGAGCGCAAGTGCTGAGCAACAGGGCCGCCGGTTCAATTCCCACATGGGCCAGTGACGCTGCACCTGAGCTGAGCTGTTGCTGAATTGCCAACAGGTGGCAAGATAGCTTAGCTGGTGTAACAACAAGAATGCCTGTTCAATGGTGGGCTACGCCCACCTGCAGCTAAGACTAACTCGGCACCTTGAGCTGAGCTGCCGTCCGGAAGGCTCAGTGGATAGAGCATGCACTCTTAACAACAAGGCTGCCAGTTTCAACTCCCAGCGTGGGATGGTGGCTACGCCCACCCACAACTAAGATTGAACACAGCACCTTGAGCTTAGAGGTCACGAGCTGCCGACAGGAAGCCAGATGGTGACTGGTACCCTCCACAACAAAGATTGAAGAACAACAACTTGGCTGTTCCCATTCCCTTATTCCCCAACTCTGTTCCCCTCCCCCAAGTCCCCAATAAAATCTTTAAAAAAATATATTATACACAAATGTCTACAGACGCATTACTTATAATAGCCAAAAAGTGGAAACAACACAAATGCCCATTTATCAATGATAAATGGGTAAGTAAAATGTCCTATGTCCATAACAATAGACTTTTATTCAGCAATAAAAAGAAATAAAGTACTGATACATGCTATTATACAACATGGATAAATCTTGAAAATATATGCTAAGTGAAAAAAAGCCAGCTACAAAGAACCTTGTATTATATGAGTCCATTTATATGAAATGTCCAGAATCCATAGAGACAGAAAACAGATTAGTGATTGCCAGAGGCTGGGGGACACGCGGGGTTGAGAGGTGATGGCTGTGGGGTAATAAAAGTTTCTAGAATGAGATAGTGGTGACGGATGCCCAACTCTGAATATAATAAAAGCCACTGGATTGTTTAATAAAAAAGTTTTTAAACAAAAATTGTGTTCTACTTCACTAACATCCTGCACAGTTAGCTAAACTTCAGGCAGAATATTTCCCCTGAGTAGCACTGCCAATTAACCTTAGAATTGAGTAAGAGGCAATGGAGGAAGTTCCCTAAGCTGCCAACCCACCTTCACTCAACAATTCCTATCAGTCCTGCACCCAAAATCTATTTGGAACCTACCTCTTCTCGTTTTCATCCACGCCCATTCTAGTTTCAACCACCATCACAGCTCCCCGGGATGGCCCAGGACAGCCTCCCTGCAGTCTCCTTTCTCCCAGCAGCCAGAGGGATCTGCTGTGAATATTAGATCCGATCTTTTCCCAGCTTAAAACTCTCCAAGCTTATCCTGAACACACCCAAACTGACGACACTAGAGTAGGCATGGTCAGGAATAAGGAAGAGGTCCCTGCCCTCAAAAAGCTTATACTCCATTACAGATCAGGCATTCATAAATATATTTTAAAACCTTTTAAAAGAAATACTCTCATTCATCTTTAACCACAAACACTGTTACATAATTGCCCTTTCAATTATCAAAATTCTTCTCTTACCCCTTCCAGGGCTGCCCCTAGAGAACAGGGCTCAGCTCATCACCAGCCCCTTCCTGATGTTATGGGGTATTTATGCCACCTTAGCACTTCTGGCTACGCAGCCTCATCTTTTTTGTCTGGCCTGTTATTATAATACGCTTGTTGTTTCACACACTACCTCAATCCCCTCCCACCTCATCTGAATTTTCTCCACCCCATATCAGATCTTTTTCAAGAGGTCTCGTTTGCAATGCACAATGATTTTGATGAAGATTTGGATATAATATTCTTTCTTTTTTTTTAAATATCCTTCCTTGTGACATTCAACAAAATGTCCTTAGACATCTGGGCCACTAAAAAACACTGATCTAGTGTTTTCAGAATATCATCTAAAACCACATAGATCGTAGCTGAAGGTCAGGATCCATCACAGCTGAAGATTTCATGGATCATAGCTGAAGGTCAGGATTCATCATCCTGTAATTACACTGTGAATTATCTTTCCCTGGATTTGTTATCTGGCATGAAGCGAGAGACCTTGTTACTAGTCCACAGAGCTCAAGTTCAGTAGCATTCTGAAACTGGCTCAAATTGGCTCACAGATTCGATTAAGGAAGTCTTTAATTGGTTGTTAAACACGCCCATTATTAAAAATTAAATTATATAAACTTACGACTAAATAAAATATATTTTTAAAAGGTAACAAATAGTCAAAACATTTCACAATTGTTTTACTCTGTCTTACTATTATCTAGGTGCTCTTGAGGTTATTTACGTCCATGTTATACAAATGGTGGGAATTCTGTACAGAGTGGTGTGCTACCGTGCATCTCTTCCCAATACTGCATTCATGTTGTGAGCCTGAAATCAGCCATGGTGGCAGTATTTACACCACAAACACTAGCATGAACACTACAAAGCAGGACTGTTCCCCCAGGGAGCTGGCTGCTAACTAATCATTTACAAGCACACCACTGCTTGAGTTTCTGATGTCTACAGCAGCTCACTGGGTTCCAGGTTCTGAGATCCCTACTGCGCCCTACATGCTATGTCTCTGTGAAGCCTGCGTTGCTGAGAGGTGGTTTCACCTTGTGGTAGAATCTAGAGAGCATCCGAAACTGATCTTTTTCCAGCCGAGAAGCTCAAGAGATGAAGGAAGACTCACCTGGTTGGGTGATTTTGAGCTCAATAATTTTGGGTTATTTAAAAGCTTAAAAAGAGAATTATTAAAACCCCGAAAATGTAGCAAAAACTTAAAAAGAAAATATAGTAACGAGCATTTGTTACAGAGGTAAATCCTATCAGTTACCATCAGATAAATCCAGGCTTTTCCTTTAAGCTCCCCTTCCAAATAATTCTGTCCTTTTTTGTTTTTAATTCTTAAAAGTATTTCTTAATCTATAAGACTCTATTAAAAATTATGATATATATTGCTGCATTCAGATTTCTAAAACACTGCACTTTTAAATGAAAGTATTCATACTTCGAATTGTGTTCTGAATATAGGAATCATTGAAAGCATTTAAAGACTTATTAATTTTTTTCACATCAAGACTTTTTCTTCGTAAGTGAATAAGAGAAAAATCGTTTCCCATGACATTTATTCACAGTGTGCTTCTTTTCTCCTGACAGTAGACATAAGAGTTCTATAAAACAAAGGCAGTAAGAACTCAGTATTACAGAGATATAAGCTTTAGTATATAGTATCAGGTCATAATGGGATGAGGCAAGGCCATTTTGTCCACTCATATATTTTATCCTTGGTCACAACCATCTGAGTGAACACAAGGAATTGGAGAAAACACACGTAATTTAATTCTGTATGCATTGCTAAATGTGTGCACTTAGTACTAAAAAGGATATTTTTTTTTATCCTTTCAATTAGAAGGACTACTAATTAGAAGAAAGAGCTACAATACCGAAATACAGAAAATTTTCATTCCTGTGGTCTTATATTTAGGTATAAAGTAAGTCAGGGGCAAAAGAGATTGAATGGAAACCTGGTTGCTAATGACCTAGGAACCCCAAGCACAAACACCCCCTCTTGGCAGGGGCAAGTGAGCAGGTGGCTGTAGAGTCACACAAAGTCCTGAAGACTCCAGGACCCAAAGACCCAGCTTTGGTTCTGGCAGAGCCTCAGAAGGGAAATAAAACAAACTGGCATGTCTACACTCGAAACGACCATGACCCCTGACCTCTGACCCCAGTGCTATCTGTGGCCAGGCTCTGAGAACTCAGGGTGTAGGTAAGAAAGGGAAGAGAATGAAGGAAAAAAGGATGGAGTGGCAATGACAATACAGGAAATGAGGAAAAAACAGAAAAATTCAGGTCCCTGTAGAAACGCGGCCCACTTCCAGAATTCGAGAATCCATAAAACAGAACCTGGCAGCCTCACACCACCGCCGCCACCCCCAGCTTAAGTTGTTCAGGAAAATGAAAATCGCTCCCCCAAAAAAGAAGGAAAGGGAAGAGAACAAAAAAAACTCATCGCTCGATCTAAATTCAAAGCCTAGGAAGTAGTCTTAGTCCTCCTGAGAAACAAAACTGAAAAGCAGGCTCGCATTACCACAGAGCTCCTGCAGACCCGTGATTTGTAAATGTTTGATTATTTTTATAATCGTGTTGCTGTTGCTTCAGCAGTGTCACTCTTTTCTTTTCCCCCCAAAATCTTACGTGGAAGCCTAACATGCAAAAGAGACAAAAATACAGTCGTCCTCTAATCAGGAGACAGCCCCTCTGCAGCCATCCCTGCACATCTCAGGGGCGCAGTTTGAAAATCTGGGCAACAGACTGTCAGTCGCAGGCAGCAAGGAGCCAGCCCACCCGAGGGAAGCCAGCCCAGGGAGTACTGAGCCCAAACAGGCAGCGAGGGTATTTGGCCCAAAGCTACTGAAATGTAATTCTGCAAGCCCTTCTCACAGAGAAGAAGTGATATGCTTATGTTCATGCTCACTCTTCTCTCATTCAACCCACCTTCCCCAACCCCTCCCCGGGTGCACGCACACTACACACGCACACACACCTGACACAGAGAGTCACGCGCATCTAGCTACAGCCGAGCACACTCACTGACCAGGGCAGGTAACTCCTCAATATTGGGCAGTGCTATTTCATAGTGGTCTGGGAATATAACAAGTTTGGCTTCATCTTCATATTCATAATCGTCGCTATTTAAATCGTCATCAGTATCTAGATCTGAGGAGAAAACAAAAACAAAGAACAGGACATGAAGAAAGAACAATCCACACATTAAGGCAGCACACTGACTGGGAAAGCCAAAAATCCACAGGGATGACAAACCGAGGGTGTGACATTACAAAATTCCCTCCTCTCAGACAACCATCTATCTGCCCCAAACCAGGAGTAAAAGGCCTTTCCATCTTTCCTAAGCTATGAATACTTATTTATAAGTGACAGATGTATAAAGAAGACTGAGTCATATCACACAGTTTTATAGTTAAAATAGACATATGCGCTAGATATTCAATTCTTAAAGGTGTTTAAAGGAATAGGCTGTTCATTATGATTTGTTGGGTACCTGGCTCCTGATTTCACATGAATGGATTGAAATGTTTTTCACAACACTGTAATATGGAAGAAGGTGCATGGGTTCGAGTAGATAAACCTAGGTTCAATTCTGGCTCTAAAACTTAATGTTACTTTGGGCAAGTCACAAACGCTCTCAGACTTAGTTCCCTCGTTTGTAGAATGTAGATAATAACACTTATCTCACACACTTTATATGGATAATAAATAAGAATCTGTAGGCAAGAGCCCTAGCACAGAATAGGTAGTCGATAATGGTAGCTATTATTTAAAAATACAATCTCAATTTCCCTTTCTCTCACTCTCCCTCGCCCTCCTCCCATCCCCCTCTAAGAGTTGTTGAGATCTTGCAGAGTAAACCAGAGGGCGAAACCAGGTAATATAAATGTCCTGTTGTCCTCAGGCTATGAAGAAGTTTCAGTAAGAAAGATGAGGCCCTCTAGGCTATTATCTATCAAGTCACCGCCTCTTTGCTTGGCTAATCTGTGGTAAAGGTTAGGTGAAGCCTCAAAGACATGTCTTGTCACAATATTTACATGGACATTTCAGCCTGTGTTCACATGAGGCCAGCGTCCCAGATCATGTTTGTATATTTAGATGTTTGGAACTATGGTGACAAAGAGCTACTGAGTTGCATTCCATTCACACACACACACACAAACACACACATAAACAGGTATACAAACATAAGCCCTGTAGATAGGAGAAAGTTATTTTAGTGGATGAAGCAGCCAGCGGAAAAATCAAAGAATTTAGATTCTGTTATTACCTTGTTGGCCTCCAACCAAACACCTAGTATCTGTCTGTGTATAGCTCTGCTCTTGAATTCTCAAAGAAAGGGTAGTTTTATGTAGAAAATGAGATATCGCTAAAACACAGCCTAAATTTTAATACAAGATTCTAAAGAATAACAATCAGAAATGCCAAAATATAGAAACAAAAACATCGTTAGATAACTGTAAGAGGTTAGTTTGACAAAAAGCAATGTTAAAGAAGATTCTAAGAGTTTTAAGCAGTAACTAAAGGCATTTATTTAAAGAAAATGATTCAAACAGACACTCTAAATGTCATAAAAACTTGAATGCCCCAATATCTGTAATAAAAAACATACTCACTTAATAGTAATTGAAGTTTTACCTGGCCAAAAACAATGATAAACTAAATCCAAAAAAATATCCCACTCTGACATTTACTAACTACTTAACACTAGGCAAGTTCATTTTCCTCATGAGTAAGCTATGGGCAGTATTATGCACCCTCCACAAGATTGTTGAGAGGATTAAACAAGATAAGGTTTTTAAGGCACCTAGTATAGGACCTGGCAGGCATTAGGGGTTCTATAGATGGTGGTTGTCATCACCATTACCATCATCATCATCACCTTCTCCACACTCCTGACAACTAACATGACCAAAAGTGCCTTCCCATCCATCTGGCTGCCCCCAATCCAAAGCAACCCTGAAGTAAGTTTCAGGAAGACCATGATGTCATGTAGGGATCTGCCACGTGACCTGAATGTGGAGAAGATATGAACTTTGAATGTGTCTAGATTGGAAGCGCTAAGAGCAGGAAACAGGTATTCACTCACCTCCCACATCCCCAGTCCCTGCAGAGTGCCCAATACACACACGCACTCAGTAAACGGCTCTGAGAAGAGACTTTAGGAAGTTAAAAACCCCACCATGCTAAGGGCACCAGCAAAGCAAGAGCATCAAAAGGGTTGCTAGGGTTTTTGTTTTTTTTAATTGGTAACTGATCTGTGTTTAAAAAGAAGCAAGACTGCTGTTGAGCAAAACAGCAGAGCTTTGTGGGGCTTCTTTACTCTTAGTTTATTGTTTTATTTTTAATTCAGCGGGATGAAGGGGACCATGATCTTTCTCAAACATCTTAATCCAAATTAAAGAAAAGTCAGCAGAGAAATTCCCTGAGGTTAAGGGGCAACTACTCTGATTTTAAGGGACAAATATGGTGATTTTAAGGAACAAATGTAAGATTTCTCCTGAATATATATGACCCCACAATCCTAAGTAAAACATCTACAATTTCCAAATTTCTCTTATTAGAGTCTTCACCACCTCCAAAAATATCTAGTTGAGAAACCTACGGCGTAACCATGCCCTCGCGACCGGTAAGACTAGGATCCCCAACTTCTCCCAGCATCGCTTGCCATGGTGGCTATGAACTGGCAATACCTGGATGAGCTCTTTTCCTAAGTTAAAAAAAATTTTTTTCCTTTGAAATACTTCTTGCCCAACTCTACTTCAATGACCCTCTCAGGCTCCTGGGAGAAGTGGGTGGGACCACACCCATTTCCAAGAAGTAACTTGCCTAAGCTACAAAGCAGCACAGGGGAGAAATGGATCCCGAAATAAAACCAGGGTTCTGATTCCCAGCTCAGAGTTCTCTGGGCCTGGCCGTGCTGACTTTGATTGATGAGCTGGAGGTAAGCAATCTGGCTGTTTCAGTGCTGTGAAATCTGACCAACCATTTACCCTCAAAAGAAGGCACAAGGAGAAAGGCCCTGGAGCACAGACCCTGTTCCACAACCTCCTTCAGAAGGAAAAGGCAACCTGGGGTTCACTTGAACCTTCTGGTCATTATAGGCCCAGGTGGGTTTTCGGAACAGGTCTATTCCTGGAGCTCTCCACAAATGTTCTGTTTTCAACCTGTTTCCCACCAAGCATGAATGCCAGGGCTAAAGCCCAAAAAGCGGAATTTAAGCTGTCTGATGTGAAAAGGTATTAATAGCTCTTTGAAGTACCCGTCTTCAGACACAGAAGGACGTAACTCATTTTCTCCTGTTTATGAATGTTGGGCGGAGGGGTACTTAATAAAATTATGAATATGTAACACTGTTTGAATGACATACCAAAGATACAGTATTTTAAGGAAATGCATTAGCAGTTATTTATACATCTGTTGCCTTACAGCTGATTCCAAGACCACCCCCTCTGCATTAGCCCCTGACCCTATTAGTCTTGAGAGAGTGTCTTGGTATGACCGAGGCCCGGTGGAATGATATCGGTAAAGCTTTCTCTGGGGGGTGTCTCGGTATGACTGGGACCTGATGGAATGATATCAGTTATCGTCCCTGGGAGGACACAGTAACAAGGTGTCCTGGGGCTGTGTGGTGATGTATGAAGGCATAGCATTTGTTGGAATACAATGGGATGGGTTAATGGAAAACAGCCTTAAGGAACACAATTACACATGGTTACTAATTGACAGCAGTTTTACTTCTTTGAAAATTCTCAATAAAAGCCATGCGCTGACCCGATGCGGGGCTCAGTCTTCTCTGGCTGGGTCCCTTGGTCTCGCTCTTATCTTACTTTTGTCTCTTGTTCTTATTCAATCTGCGTCGTCCCTCTCGAGTCCCATTTGCCCCTGCCACGCAGGACGTGACATACATCCAGATACATTTGTAGCTTTATTGTAAAATATATATATGAGATTAGGCCGGAATCGTGTCACCAGTCCTAGAGTATTTCTTTGAAGATTCTGACCTTCCTTACATCCTCTCGTCTCTCCTTCTGTCTCATAAAACCGTTGTTTTATATCAGCTTATTCCCAAAATTCACATTCTGTCATATTGTTGTAAGTTATCTTTCTAAACAACAACCTAATGCCCCTTTGTAGCTGGAAACATCGATGCAGAGCTACCCACCCTTTCTTGGGTCACGGCACCCTAAAGCATCCCAGCAATTTTTGCACAGCGGCCGGAAGCCAAGAGAAGCGCCAGGCAGTTCTGTTTATTTAGCTGTTAGGTCCACACAAGGTAAGTATTTATTCTCTAACCACTTAGAGACCATTTGAAAAAAATAATACACATAAATAGAAAGAAAAACACGTTTTATTTTGTTCTTAAATAACCACAGCTCCTTACTGACAGAATGAGTGCACCTGTTGGGCACTGCACAACTTCTCTTTGAGTCAGATTGGACGCTGCCTCCCTTTTTCCCGTTCCACATTTATTTTCACAGGGTACTTGTCTTTTACCATAGAAATCACAAAAACAAAACAAAACAAAACAAAACAAAAAAACAGCTTCACAAGGAGATGAAGTCACTGAAAGGAACAGAAGATACTCTACCGGTGAAACTACATGAGCTAATGGTTCATGCATCACTTTGTGCCCTTAAAATTTAAAACTCCCCAAGGTGCGCGTGTGAGTTCATTGCAGCTCCCCGGGGTGCCTTAGAGCACAGTTTAGGAACCAAAGTGTTAATGGCTCGCCACTGCCTACAGGAAAAAGTCTAAAAGCAAGGTATATGTATAGACTATCACTGGAAGAACATACAAGGTATATAAGGATGTACAAACAGAAAATACTGTTTGTCTCTGGGGAGACTAAACAAAGAGCTGAGAGACAGGGACGGGAGAAAAAGAAACTTCCTTTTCATTACAGAGCCTCTTATAACTGCAATTTTAAGCTTTGTCCATGTTTTATGTATTCAAAAAATAGTTTTTAAATCCTAAATGCAAAAAAAAAAGGTATACAATTTAAATGATTCAAAAGTTACCCATAGCTGTTACTGTTGATTAAAAAAAAAAAATTAGCAGCAAAAACGAGAGCTGCGGGAAGGGTCCTTAGCTGTGATTCACTTGAACGAACATCAGCATAATCGGGAGAAAGAGTGACTTGACTGTTGAGGGCAGGATGGTATTCAGGAGGCTTGGGTAAGCCAGTCAACACCAGGTAATGGCCTCAGTTTCCCTCATAAAACCAATACTGAAGGTCGTAACTAAATGATTCAATGGTTTCAATGTGACTGTTAAGCCCAATGGAAGAGAAATTATTCACAAGCCATCAAGTGAATGAGGGGGAAGAGACTCTATCCAGGAGAAAGCCTTAGTCATCTACATCTGTTCTGTGAAGGAGAAGGGGCACCATAGCTACATTTCAATAGCAATGAATAAGTACCTTCTAGCTGAAGAAACAAGAGAGCCTGCAAGAGAGTTCTGAGTTCTCTTCCTCTCCACGAAGAGACAGCCCCAATGTCCCTTGTAGGGGAAGAGTCTGTGGCAAAGGCTACTAGCTGCCTCCTGGTATCCATTCTCCCCTTCTTTCGTAGTAACAGGCTTTATTCAGTGATGCCAGTTAGTAGACTTTACTTTGCAGTTTCCTGTGCAGCATGTGGTGTGGCCATGTGACCAAGTTATGAACAGAGAGGTGTGAACTGAAGTGCTGCTTGAGGATCTGTGAGAAGGCTGACAAAAGGAAGCTGACCCCACTGGGAGATTAGAAGCCCTTCATCTTTCCTACTTTCCAGAATGGGGGTGTGATGGTTGGAGTACCAGCAGCCATTTTGGACCATGAAGCAACCACAAGGTTGGAAATCACGGGCTAGGATGAAGGGTGAACCGAAAACACGGGAAGGTCTAGATCCTGATAGAACACGAGACCATCACATCAGCCTGAATTTATGGCTTCCCCACATCCTCTACATGAGAAAAAAATAAACATCTATCTTGTTTAAAGCCACCACCATTTTAAGTTTCCTGTTACATAAACCAGATGTAATCCTAATACAGTCCTTCACTGAAGTTAATTTACAGGCCACATCAACTTGAAAACAGAGATGTGATCAGGTTGACAAGAGAAAAATACCTTCTACTGGGTGATGAGAAGAATCTGCTGAGGGGGCTGTAAATCAGAGCTTGCAAACCGAAATTCTTACTTGGATGAAGTAGCTAGCATAAATTTGTGAAACATCTGGGTATATCACAACAGAGAGAAATGGCCTGGGGCAAGCCCCAGAGTGCTAATGAAATTCAAATTTAATTTATTTAAAACTCAGTACAAAGGGCCGGCTGAGTGGCTCAGTTGGTTAAGAGCTCGCTCAAGAGTTTGAGCTCTGAGCAACAGCGGTTCGAGTCCAGCCTGAGCTGAGCAGCCACTGAGCTGCCAATAGGTAGCAGGATGGCTCAGCTAAAAAAAAAAAAAACAAACAAACTCGGTACAGTCCACATAGGACATTTTTTGCTGGGCTATGAGTTTTAAACACATCCTATGGTTTTCTGAGATGTATAATGATGAGTCAACACAGAGAACAGCTTGTAGAAAATGTCCCACTGAAATGAAATGGCGGATGACTGCTCCCAGGAAGCAATGGACAGGGTCTATCAACACGGTATGAAGCACAAAAGCACAGTGCTTACCTTTGCATTAATTTTTTAAAACAGTTACTTGACAATATCATGTACCACCAAAATGGTTACTAGAGAAATCGAACCTCAAAGTCTTTTGAGTAAAAGACACAAAGGTTGAAAGGCAAGATAGAAAAATCAAAGCAGGAAGGAAACTCAGCCCCATGACTGTTTGCAATGGCTTTCTTTTCAAATAATGAATGTGTCTTTTTATTACAACAGTAACATATGCTTGTTATAGAAAAAAATCAAAAACAGATAAGCAAAAAGAAGAAAATAAAATCACTTCATTCCCACCACCAAGTAAGAGCTACAATTAACAATTTGGAGTATATTCCGCCAGACACTTCCAGACACCAGTCTTATGTGCATATGTAGGTGTATATAAGCACACATATACACACACATTTACATACATATATGTACACACATACATAATAGATACGCATGCACATTTACCTACCTATTTACATATATACATATGTATATGTATGTGTGTACAGATTTTTACCAAAAGGAAATCATAATATGCAAACAATTTTGAAATTCCTTTCAGGCAATAATCCCAGGCATTTAGGGTTTTAAACTTGTTTGGTCCAACATTATCAAACTACTTTTTTTCCTAGGGAAACCATACCATAAGCTTAATATGAAATAGGATTATGATAACATGATATAGAAACCAGTAGTCATTTGCATAAGCCAAACCAGCTCTTCTGAATGAGGGAGACAGGAAATCACTGTTAGTCGAATACCACAGTCATCATTGTTGCAGGGAAGATCCACTGATGGATGATAAATTAGTGGGCAAAACTTTGAGGAGAAATAAGATATTAGCGTAGTCTCCAAATATCACTTCCAAGACATTTATTAATTACTGTCACTTTACAGTGGAGAAACCCAACGGACACCCCTTAACAAGTGATCAAGGTTAATGTCACCATATGAAGACAGAGCATCATGTGCCCCCGATAGCATGCACCGGCGAGGGCACCTCACTCTGTGGTACTCCTGCCCAAAATGCATAACCTCAGATTTATAATGACGAAATATCAAACAAACTCACACTGAGGTACATTCTACAAAATAACTGGGAAGTACTCTTCAAAAGTTATCACCATTATTAAAGAAAAAAAAAAAAGAAAAAAGAGTAAGGAACTGTCACAGATTAGACAGGATTAAGGAAACATGACAACTAAATGTAACATGGGATTCTGGACCAAAAAAGGACATTATTGGGAAAATATGGTAAAATCTGAATAAAGTCTGTAGTTTGGCTAATATTCAAAAAAGACAAACTGTCTCTTCTTTAAAGGGAGTGAAAAAAGAGACAGGAGCAGAATCACAATTACTCTCCTGTCACTGTAAGTTAATTGCTTTGAAACACTAACCTGACTAAGAATGCCAAAAACATCCTTTACAACTACATAAACACAAAGTAGAGGCAGGTCATCTCCAATTAAATTGGTTCTGCTCATCGTTCAATTGTAGAGCAATAAACAACCTATTTTTCACACACACACACACACAATCTGGGCATGCTATTGATAAGTATGTATATTACCTAAAAACATCTTGGAATTCCTCCTTTTTGGTAAAGCTCCACCAGATGCCCCTTTTACCTTCTGGAAGAAAAAAAAAATTGTTAAAATGCAGCTTGTGGAATAAACAATTGGGAGCTGGGAGTAGGGGTGAGAGTCCATCTCAGAGGTTGCCAGTTTTTATAAAAGTCCAGAGGAAATACTCAACCTGGATTAGCAATTCTAGGATAAACAGGAACTTGACCCAGGTCAATGAAGGTAAATGAAGGGCAATACAATTGTTCTACCTGATTAGTTTTCCCTAATTATAAAGAAAGCATTTCTGGAAAGGGAAGTGGAACCAGGCCTCAAAGTGAAGGAGGTGTTTCAACTTGAAATCGGCACATTCTCCTAAGAGCCTGGAGCCCATGTTCAATGCTGGAGCTACTCTGGGAAGATAGTGGGGGCTCCAGGGGGGAGGCTCTTGTTCCCCTGCCACCTACTGGGTCCCCCGTGGTGGGCGCTGGGCTTGCCCAACAATTATTGTTGAAAGACATAAAAAATATTGATACATAGTCACTGACATTCTGGTCATATCACACGTCAATCTAAGCTCCCTAAACATTTTTGGAGCACCCACGGATGGCTGGCTGGCTATGTTTGCCATCCTAAGCTTCGTGTTTTTTCTACATATCATTGAAGTCCTCGGCAGCAATGAAATAAACACCCACCAAGTGTTTGTGAAGAGGTCATGCATCATCCTCTGACACACAAAAAAATTTTACTCTCCAGTAGATTATAAAAATATTCATTTCCAATGGCCAAAACAGTATTTCCACATTGTACGTTCTTTCAGCTAACAGAAAAGAGCACATTTCCAAGACACCGCAGGGGGCGGGTCAAACCCTTGCACCTTGTCACATGGGCACGTTATGGCAGCATATAGGCCCTGACGCTTCTTTAGTTTGTCCTCTTATTAGTCCTAACTTTCCTTTCCCACATTTTATCATTTGGCATTGAAGGCTGACTCATCTGTGTGATCCTCACATTATGTTTTTATAGCTTCTACTATAAGTTTATGGTTCACATCTTGATATTGTGAAAATTATTGAACACTTTCGCTCAAAACCCTGTCTCTCCAAATACTAATGCCAAATTCACGTCACCTCTCTTAGAATCCCTTTCTTCCATGGTCTCAGAGCCCCTGTTCCTCTCGCCTCCACTTACCTGCCTCAAAAAAAAGGATAAAACAAACTGGTGCCAAGGACACATTTAACAGTCCTGGTAGTCACTGGAAATCTCGCTACAGGAGTTTATGTCATCTTTTTAATTGTTCTAACGTCATCTTTTTAATTGTTTCTAACCTCACTGTCCTCTGCATTCCTGCGTGATGATGGAGGAAGAAAGGAGGGAGGCTTCATGAAGACCTACTAGAACATAAAGCTCTCCCCAATTGTGAGATTCACACCTTAGACTTGAATTAGATCTACTTCCTCTCAGGGGAAAAAAAAAAAAACTAGGCCTTCCTTCCAAAGATCGTCACCTCTGCACCTACATCAGTCACCACTAGAAATCAACAGGGTTTGAGAAACTGGGACTCCTCGGTCAGAAGACAGGACTCTGCCTGTGTGTCAGGCTCTGCGCTGGTGCTCAGGCTGCAAAGTGAACGAAGACACACTCCATCCCTTGAGGAGCCCACCAGCATAGCTGAGGAACTTATTTGCAAACAAATAGCACAATAGATTCTAGTGAGTGTTAAGACGGCTGTGCAAAAGGCCCAATCCTATCATAAGGAAGGAATGATGGTTCTTCTGGGGATGGACAATGTGACCAGGGCTGGTCAGGTAAGAAGAGCAACAGGCCTGGAATATAGCAGCTGCTATATTTGCTGGATGGACAATGGATGAATGGATAGATGTATGGATGATGGACAGGTGGATAGATGGATGATGAACAGATAAATGGATATGCTGACCACAGGGAATGCAACAGATAAAAGAAGAACGGGGGTAGAAGTAGGGCATCCCAAACAAACAAACAAACAAAAAACATGTGCAAAGGCATGAAATCATGGTGTGTTCCAGAAAGGAGAAGGGGTTTGCTATGTCTAGAGCACAAAGCTGGTGGAGTAAGAGTGACGTTTAGAAAGGCTACATGGGCCAGATCATGGGGGGCCTTGTAATCACGTGCAGAGTTTGGACTTCATCCTGCAACCAAGGGCGAGACATCAGAGATTTAAGCTTCAGTGTGCCACAGATGCACAGATATGTGCAATTGGAAAGGTCAATCTGGGTGCAGTGCGCAGACTGGGTGGGATTGAAAGCAGCAAGTTTGAAAGAAGGAGATCAGGCAGGAAGCCACAGCACTCATCCTTTTAAGAAATAATGAGCACTCGGATGGAAACAGCAGGGATGCAGAGGACAGGACGGACTTCAGAGCTATTTGGGAGCCCCAGATAACAAGACTTGGTCACCAAACAGTTATGGAATGAAAGCAAAATCCAAAGAAGGTCTAGGTCTCCAGAATTCAAGGCAAGGGACAACTCTGAGAAAGAGGATAGAGAACTCATTCAGTCTGGACACATTGAGCCTGAAGTACCTGTGAGATGTCCACCTAGCAAAAGCCAGGTCAGAGGTGGATGGTCAGATCTCCAGCTCTGGGGAGATAGTGATTTGGAAGTCATCAGCTCAGAGGTAGTAGTTCAACAAAAATTGGGATGACACTGATAAGAGCAGCTTTCAGAGAAAGGAGACAAGAGGGACAAACGGCATCCTAGGAAATGCCCATATTTAAGGGGTAAATGAAAAAAGTGATGCTAGTGAAAGGAAGTGAGAAAGGGCAGTGTGACAGACTGGAGGAAAACGAGGAAAGAATAGTGCCCAAGGAAGCAGGGAAGCAGCAGTTCAAAGGAAAACAAGTTCAAACACTCAAAAAGTGAAGTAAAATCAGGGCTAAAGCATATCCACCAAGCGTGACAACAGAGGTCACGGACAACCTGGCCGCTGTGGAGGGTTAGCAGGAAAATCAATCGGCCTGCAATGTTGAATTTACAGGGGGGTGTAGCAGAGATGATGAGAACAGAAGTTTGTAAAGAAGCTTTAAATGAAGGATGGGACAACTAGAGGAGGATACAAATCAGAGACACAGTTTTGTGGAGTGTTCTTTTTCAAGGTGGGAGGAAAAAGCCAGTGGAGGCAGGGGTTGGAGACGTAAGGGGTGGGGGGGGGGGGGTTAATGAAGAAGCAGGCTTCCCTCAGCAGAAGAAGACAGGACCATGAGGAGAGAGGGAACACAGCTTTCTGCTGAGAGGGAGGAGCTGGAAGCCGAGGTTCCCAAGAGGCAAGAAAGGAGTTCAGGGAGTCCTGTCCAAGGGTCCCTGCTTTCTCTGCAAAGTACAGGTCAAGTCGCCTTCTGAGAATGATGAGGGAGGTACTGGTAAAGGCTTGAGGGAAGTAGCCAGAGTCTGGAGTGGGAGAGGGTACAGACGAGGCTTACTGGGCAGTGAGAGGGCCCAGTGGAAGGAGGAAGGCCAGGAATCTGACATGGACCCCAACCCCAGGGCGGCGCGGCATTCCTAGCAGTGCGTGCTTGAAAGCAGAGGACGACAATAATGGGACGACTGGCTGGAATTCTGGAGGACGGCTAAGGAGGCAAGACAAGGAGATACGGGTCAGTGGAGACTTCTGGAGATAAGAGAATGTTGAAAGTCATGGCTCCTGAGAAGCAGGCTTAACAAACAGGGGAAGTGGCTGCCTGGACAACTCACAGGCCTGGAGTTCTCAAGGAGGGAGGACCACAGATAAAAATCAGAATAAATGAGGGAAAGAGCTAAACTGAAAAAGGGGTGTGGTCAGAGAGTAAAATATTGGATGTAAAATTTCAGAGGCAGAGCCAACTGGACAAGACTACCAGCATTCTACAATTCTGCTGCCAGACTTGTGACCGTGAGCAAGTTATTTCAAGTCTCTGGGCCTCAGTTTCATTTTTTCCCTCATTTCCTAAAATTTCATCACCTTACAATGGGACTTATGTGGGACAAAGCGGACTTCGTAAGAATTGCTGTGTCCCTCTAACAGGAGTAATAAATGTAAATCTAATATTATGTAAATATAATATTAGGCCAACATTAGATTATTTTAAAGTTAATCACTGGATTTATGGCTTATCTGACCTCCTGGCCTTTCTTCCTCTTCTTCCTCCTACTGTTCTTACTGTCCAAAATTTAAACACAGAAAATATTAGGTAGGCTAGGATGAGAGGCTTGATAAACTTCAAATCAGTATTGATGATTTAGAAGATCCTAGATAGCCTATAAACTATTAAGACTAAAGTGAAAGTTGAACAGTGTTGCCAAATATAAAAATCAACATTTGAAAATTAATAATATCTCAAATACCATCAATAACCACTTAAAATGCATAAAAAAATAAAAGCAGTAACAATTGTTATAAAAATTATATAAAGTACCTTTAAAAAGCTAAGAAAATATAAGCACCTTTACTGAAAATTACAAAATATTATTGAAGGACTTAAAAGAGACCTGGATAAATAGAAAGGTATGCCATTTTAAATAGTCATTCAATAAGTATTTATGAAGCACCTATGATGTGCTGGGCATTGTTAAGTGTGAGGACACAGAAGTGAACAAAACAGACAAAAGTTTCTGTCCTCATGGGGTTTGCACAACGATATGGATTATACATTAATCTTCAAATTCATTGTGATCACGATCAAAATCTCAGCAGGATTTTTTAAACTAGATGAACTGATTACAAAATCCACATAGAAAAATAAATTTCTAAACCAAGGAAAGCTCTGGAAAAAAAATTAAGGTGGAAAAAGTGCTTGTACTACCAAATATCAAGACTTATCACATCAATGCAGAGACAGAAAAATAAGATAAACGGAAAAGAACTGAGACCCCAAACAGACCCAACTGTGAAGGGCGAGTTAAAATATTTTAAAAATGGCACTATAAATCACTGGGAAAGACTGCATAATTTTAGTAATAGTGGGACAATTGGGTATCAACATGGAAAATAAAAAGTAGATTCCCACACTTCACACAAATACAAAATAAATTATAGATAAACTGAACATCTAAATAAAATGTTAACACACACACACTTCTAAAAAAAATGAAAGTATTAGAAGAAATATTATTATGACCTTGAGCTGGGAAACAATTTCTTAGACAAGATACAAAAAGCACAATCCGTAAAGAGAAGTTTACTAAATCTAACTACATCAAAATTCAAAACTTCTGTTCTACAAGGTAATTTATAAACAAAGCAAAAAGGTTTTGCAGCCAGAATTTAAAAAGAACTAAATCAAACTTGTAAAAAACAGAAACCCACAGAGATATAGGCCAAAAATATGAAGAGGTGACTCAGAGAAGAGAAAACCGGAATGGCCAGTAAACTATAAAGATTGTCAAGCCTCACTGAAGGAAATGCCAAATATTTAGAGACCATTTCACAACCATTAGATTGGCAAAAATCAAAAGTCTGACCGAGCATTGGTGAGGCTGTGGGAAAACAAGTTCACAGTCACTGCAGATAGGAGCATAAGTTGGTGCAACCACTGTGGGGAAGAATTTGACAATATCTAGAAAAAAATGAAGATAAACATACCCACAAGCCCGCATTAGCAATTCTAGACATATTGGCTTGTCGGAAAAGTCATGACGCATTTTTGCTAATGTGAAAATATAGAAAAAATACGTCATGACTTTTCCAATAACCCAATATTTCCTAAAGAAATCTTGCACGCGAACCCCCAGGAGAAATAGATAAAAATATTAATTGTTGCACTGTTATGAAGAAAAGAAAAAAAAGGAAACAATCTAATCATTCATCAATAGGAGAAAAGAATAATAAATAACAAGGTACTCGTAAGATGGAATACCAAACAACTATTAAAATGAATCCAGTACAACCAAATGCATTCCAACATGAATAGATTTCAAAAGCAATGTTGAAAGGGAAAGCTTTACACAGAATTATAGGTAACAATATGATACCATTTATCTACATCTTTAAAACACAGAGTCATTCTATATATTGGTCATAAATACTTACATGTGAATAAAATATAATGACATGCATAGGAATGAGAAAGAGCAAATTCACAGCCATGGTTACTTCTAGAGAATGAGAGAAACAAAAGGGACTTGAGCTTTCAGGATAGTTCTTAAACTAAAATAAAAAAATCTGAAGCAAAAATACCCAAATACTTTTTATATCCGACTTTTGGACCCAGGAGTATTTCTGGCTTGATTTTGTGTACTTTTCTATAATTTTTTATTTAATTTTTTCCAGTCAACCCATGTCTTCTTAACTCCAACGCAAGGTTTAGAGGAAAAGAAAAACAAAGCTGGTTAAGATAAGGTTTGAGTAAGTCTATGAATTTCTGCAAACAGTCCTGTGTTTGTTTCCCATCATCCAAGGGAATCAGAAGTTATATGGGCAGAGTAAAATCCCCATGTGATAAACACACAAAGACAATGTTACAGGAAAGATTTCAAGGCCAATTCTCCAAAAGCGTATCTCTCACCTCTCGCACGTGTCTTTTCAGGTGCATGTACACACTCTGTCCAGTTTTCCGAAAATGTCTTTCAACATGTTCCCTTCCAAAGGCCAAAAACGTATTCATGCATACATAGAGTCCACCTTCTGAATTCTAGAAGAAAGAGACAGGTTACACATTAGCCACAGACGCCTAGTCAAGTCCAGATACAGAAAAGGGGAAGAGGAAGGGAGGTGAAAGATGAAGATAAAGCCTGGCCAAGGCCACCTGGCTGTCACAGTCATCTGCAGTGACCCTCGAGTGGCTCCACAGCCTCCCACAGGGCAGTGCCCACCCAGCCCTGGTTCCAGGTGCTCCTGGACAGCCGAGCACGCTCTCCCTGTCAGCTGAGATGCTCAGTTGCCCCGGGAAGTAAACATGCTTGTCCGACTCTCCGAACTGGGGTAAATGATGATAAGGGACAGAAAAAAGGGCAAATGACCCAACTACCATCACTGCAGTGTTTTATCATCGTTCTTCCTCATTTTTCAGTGTGAATCTCCAGGAACATCAGGTTTTTATATCCTTTTAGCAGGACAGCGTTCTTTGAAGATATCGTTTCCTTTCTTTGGTGACACATGATATTTGATGGTACCCATTAATAAATTAGAAGAATTTAATACATAAATAATAACTTAATCAGTAAATACTAAAGGATGCAGCCCTATAATAATCATAACTACATATTATTGCCTGATATGTATCACATTCTTTACATATATTATTTCTAACCTGAACAACAATGCAAGTTGTGTGTTATTATTTCCATTTTACAGTTTTTAAGAAAACTAAGGGTACATCACTTGCCCAAGTTCACACAGCTTGGAAGTACTGGAGTTCAATTTGAATCTGTTCTTTTTATCCTGCTATGTAATATTTCAAATATTATTTAATTACAGACATACTGCTACAATGAACAGCCAAAAATATTGTTTATATTTTAGATACTCAATTTTCTACCCCAATTTCATCTCTCCTTTTCTCTCGCTTTGCTTAACATGCTTCTCTGTAAACTTAGCATCTAAAATTAGCCACTGTTGCCTCAATGAGAGTGGATTTTTTTAAAGCTCCCTCAAAATAATAAAAATAAATTTCTTAAACACCTGTAAGAATTGCCAACAAACACCTATCAAAATGTCTCACATTGCATTTCAGTGGAACACAAATTACAATATCAAAGCAGATACTGATGCTCACTACCAATATATGAAAAATAATTTTTAAAGTTCTAATAATTCAAGATTTTTTAAAAATTTCTAATAAAATTCTCCAACATTGTAACTATGATTTATAAGGCAGACATAAAGAAGTCGTGTCACAATGAGAACATTGTAACAGCATTAGTTAAATATATGCCTATTACTGTAGCATATATATTGTAAAAGGCAAGAAGAGAAAAAGGCATAAAGATAAAAAAGAAGTACAACGGTCTAAATTTTCTGATGACATTATAGTTTATATGGACAATTTTAAGGAATCTACAAACTACTAAAAATAACTAGTAAAGCTAATTCATGAATTTAGCAAGGTCATGAGATACAGGTTAAATGACAAAAATCTATTTAAATTTTATATTCTGGCAACAAATACAAATAAAAATCTTCAAACTGGACTATAAAATAGCATCCGAAACACTCAGAATTATATATCTTATGCTCTGGATAACTTTTTTCCCTTCAATGAAATCATCTGAATAAAATTAGAAAAGTTCTTCACCAAGAAGCAACACATTACATCCACTTAATCAATAAATCAGGTATTTTCAAAAGATTTCTTTAAATAAACATGTTCTTTGGCATGGTCATAAACCTTAAGAAAAAACACTGCATCATTCTAACGGTCAGTTATTCATTAAGCCCATTAAACTGAGCACCACATATTGTGGTTTTTTTTTTTTAAAGATTTTTATTGGGGAATTGGGGGGATGGGAACAGTGCTGGGGAATTGGGGGAAGGGGAACAGACAAGTTGCTGTCGTTTTGTTCTTCAATCTAGTTGTGGAGGACGTTGCTTCACAGGCCCAAGTTGGCACCATCATTGCGCTCTTCCAGGGTGAGGCAGATCAGTCGCCGGCTTCTGGACGGCCGCTCACTGCGGCTGCTGGCCGCTCACGCTGGCTGCTGGCTACATACGGTAGCCCATGGCAACCCACTGCAGCCTACGCCGTCGCCGGCGACTCATGGCAGCCCAGCTCCAGGTTGAGCTGTCGTTCAGCATCTTAGCTGTAGAGGGCAGTGTCACCGGCCCTCATATGTGGGATCCGAACCGGGGCCCTCTGGCATCCCAAGCGAGTTCTCAACCATCGCGCCACTCGGCCGGCCCACATATTGTGGTTTTATAAACGTAACACTTCCAGTCTCTTCCAATACAATGTAATTTGATCAAAAAGGGCGCAAACCAGAAGATAACCTGGAGAAAATATGAGATTTGTAACCAGAGGTCCTGAACCTGCCCTGAGGCTTAGAACAACAGGTTGTCATACAGTCTCTGCACTTCAGTATCTTTCTCTCTAAATAAGGCCGTGCCTATAATCCCCACCTCACAGGGTTTCTTCATGAAGTTCAAAGGGTATGAAATACATTCTGTGCTGCAAAGCACTACGTAAACATTGTAATTGTTTATTGTAAGCTAAAAGTTCTGTGTGCTACATGTATCTCCTAATGTCTCAATTAATTTACAATTGGGGGAAACAATCAGAAGGAAGAAAAAAGTGAGTCTGACAGCCACACAAATATTAACCTGTCAGAAAAATGTATTAGGCAACTAGTGGGAGAAGCAAGAAATCAGCAGGCAGAAGGAAAATGTTTAAGTATACAGCATGTTTTGAAGAAAAAATAGAGAATAAGCTATATAAAGTAAAAATTTATAAAGTAATCTCTAAAATAATCATAAAGCCTTTGCTAACTTCATTGCCAAGAGTTTTTGGATTATTAGGGAATTTGATAAAATTTAATATGCCAAACATTTATTCTCAATTCCTAGAGTCAGTTGACACTGTCACAAAGTCCATAATCAGAGAGAAAAAAATGCTTTGGCACTCACGGACTAATGGCCCCACATAAGGAAGGATTCTATCACAAGCATCCATGGGCGTCTTCCATCAGACACACGGGCTGACCTCTGAGGCAGTGTATGCCCCTCCACTAGCAGCTTTGAGACGGAAGCTCCGTCCAGGGAACTTGCCAGTAATTCTAAAAACTCAGGACACACTGTGACAGAAAACACTTTAAAAGCTACAACATATAGAACAAACAAACACCCAGCCTACTGATCTGCACTTTTTCCCCTCTTGCCTGATTAATATCTAAATAGTGATCCCATTAAGACACTTTGTTTCACATACAAACTCAATACTCCATGCCACCTACAGCTTCTTTCACTAATGATGACAGGCCTGTTCTGACAAATCTCTCCCAAGTCCTTTGTAACCAAAGCACAGAGAATGGTTTCGAACCTGGGATCAGAGTTAAGCTAAATGACTCTTTAAGAGTTTTCAAACCCTCAACCTCATCCTCACATTTACCAGCCATACCCCCACTAAAATCACCATAAAGCACTTGTCTTCATGTAGCCAAAAGTGCAGCCAAGAAATCAGGCAGGACCTTCTATATAAGCACTGCACTAAAATGGCAGAAACTATTGTAGGATCACATCTTGGTTTTTTTAATAATGCTAGCAAAGTACACAGAGGAAGAAAAGGAACTGCATTAGATTGTAAACACTGGGGTAGAACTCTTTCTTAATGTCCAGTGCCCATGGTCTTAAGATTTGGTGCAATCTGTCTTTAGAAAAAAATAAAATTAATTAAAAAATAATAATCAGGCAGGTTTAGAGAACTGTACCAACTGACAGTGAAATGCAACTTGAAGAATTAGAGGAAAGAATACAAAGAGATACTTTTTTCAAGTCATGGCGGTAGAATGCTTTATCAAAATAGATTACAAATGAAACTCATCTATATTCAGTTAATTTTTTAAATAAATGGTAGCACAACAATGGAGATTCCAGAAATATATTTATTCTATGATAATTGCTTAATATATGTCAAACCACAAGAAACACAAAAATGAGGGGGAAATCATTAATAAAAGTTACTTGTACAGTTATACATCAGTATAGAAGAAAATTAACCTAGAACCACATCTTATAACAAACACTGTAATAAGGTCCAGAAAGATCCAAGAGCTAGCATTTTAAAAACTAGAAAAGAGCAGAATAGCGTGTTTATGCCACTTGTGAAGGGAAACATAACTTCTGGCCTAGAAGATACAAAATCACACAAGACACGGCATGGTTGAATACAAAAACATAAACACTAATGAACAAGTTTTACCCAACAAAATATAATGAAACAAATTGGAAACCAACAAAAACAGAAGGGGTAAAGATGTAAACTATAATGCAGAAAAGCTTACATCCAACTATGTAAAACTGATAAAATTTCAAGATGCCAACATTCAACTTGGTAAAGTTTTTTTTAGGATTGTTTAGTTTTAACTGTGAGAAAACATTATAATTAAATCCTGAATCCTCACTACCTCCTGAAGTAAATACAGGAAAGCAATCTTTTTTTTTTTTAAGATTTTTATTGGGGAATTCGGGGGATGGGAACAGCGCTGGGGAATTGGGGGAAGGGGAACAGACAAGTTGTTGTTTTGTTCTTCAGTCTAGTTGTGGAGGATGTTGCTTCACTGACCCAAGTTGGCACCATCATTGCTCTCTTCCCAGGCGAGGCAGATCAGTCGCTGGCTT